AGGTTCTTGCAAACGACTCTGAGCGGGTTGAACAGCTCATAATTAAACTTACAACCAAGATAAAGTGCCTGGAGAAGCGGTTAGGGACATTAAAGCTTATTTCACCAAGTAATGAAGGCGAGTCAATGGCACCATTTATTACTTTAATTAGAAAGGAAACGCCAAGAACAAATCTACGTTTCTCAAGAGACGGTAGGGACAGCAGAAGCAACCTTTTTTCATACGGAGGAAGAGAGGCAACCGGATCCCAACCCAAATTTCTAAGGGCAAACAGCAAGAATTGCTTTTGAACAGATTCGATTGAATCTACGTAGCACCTATATGAAGGAGACCACACAACTGAGGCATAGTCGAGTATGGGTCTAACCAAACACATGTACAGCCCTTTCGTAATGTAGGGATCATCAAGCTCTTTGGACCACCTTTTCATAAAACCAAGCGCGGACCTAGCTTTGCTAATCGAAAGCTCAATATGCAAGTTAAAACGTAACCTATGGTCAAATAGAACGCCTAAATCTGTGATCGAATCGAAGTCTTCCAACTTATGCGAATCTATGAAATACTGAGTAATGAATGACTTTCTTCTTGAGAATGAAAGCTTCTTACATTTACTCAGATTTAGTTTCAGGAGATTCAAAGAGCACCATACAACAAAATTATCCAAATCACCTTGAAGCTGATGTGATTGCGATTCAAGAGAGAAGGAAGAAAACAGTTTCACATCATCAGCATACATTAAGATCTGGCTGGAATTAACCACCTATGGGAGATCGTTAATGTGTAAACTAAATAAAATCGATAACGAATTATTTCACGGTTATTCATTTCTTTCTCACAAACTCTTACAGCTTTGTGAATTTCGAAAATACTTTTAACACTTTGGATTTGAGTGCAGGGCGTTGGATCAAAAAAAGGCTAAAATTAAGTAAACAAAATTCGAAAAAATTCCACGAAACTGAGCTGCATCAATAATTTCATCACGTTTTCCTTTAAAGGCCAAAAATGTTTACCGGGTAGAGGAAATAAATGATAGCAACACACTTACTTACTTACTAATTATGTGAATTTTATGAATCACTTTAAACATTATTTAAGTATTTTTTGCATAATATCTTGCTTGTATTGGCTTTAGAAAGCGTTAAGAATATAAAATTACTTTTTGTTTTTTCGCCTTTGTGTGTGTGTGTGTTTTTTTTTTTTGTTCCTTTTTTCTTTTTCCTTTTCTTTCTATTTCACTTAACTTTTACTTAATTTACATTTACACGAATTGCATTTTTTTTTTTTTTGTTCTTTTTTTTTTTCGTTTTATTCGTTTCATATGCTTTTTTTTTTTTTGTTACCACCTTAAACAAATGGCAAACGTCTGTTTTACAAGAATGTTTATTTTTATGAGCAGATATAAATGTTGATGTGTAGGTGTTGCATAGTCGTGGTGCACGGAGTTGTACTTAGCGTAGCCCGAACCTATCTTAGTTTTGGCTGGATTAAATGCGTTTTATTCATAGCTAACTAAACGCTAGCTAAAGATATTTTGCATTATTGTTATTGCTGTGTTTGTTTATTGTCTGTTGTGTTGTTCTCGTGTGTGTGATTTGAATATTTTATGAACGACTCATTACGTACACAGCCAGTGAATATTCTTAAGAATCGTCGTTTTTCTTTGGATATATGCTTTTTTTTTTTCTTTTATTTTCATTTCGTTAATAACAATAATAACTCTTTAGCTTCAGAAAAGGTTAGGCAGGCATACGAAGTTTTTTTTTGTTTTCCCCATAGGCGGTTTAATTTCAATTTTTTTATTAAATAGAAAAGCAATTTTTTCTTCAATCTTTGTCTTCTCATGACAGACAGACTTTATTATGCGATAACTTGGTCTATAAAAAAATAGA